GCCGGCGGCGGGGCCGCAAGAGAGCCGGGTAGGGGCCGCGTGAGGGCCGGCGGCGGGGCCGCGTGAGAGCCGGGGCGGGGCCGCTTCAGAGCCGGCGGCGGGGCCGCAAAAGAGCCGGCGGCGGGGCCGCTTGAGAGCCGGGGCAGGGGCCGCGTCAGGGCCGGCGACGGGGCCGTAAGAGAGCCGGCGGCGGGGCCTGGAGAGGGCCGACGGCGGGGCCACGTGAGAGCCGGGGCGGGGCCGCAAGAGAGCCGGCGGCAGGGTCGCGTAAGAGCCGGGGCAGGGGCCGCGTAAGAGCCGGGACGGGGCCACGGAAGAGCCGGGGCGGGGCCGCGAGAGAGCCGTCGACGGGGCCGCGTGAAAGCCGGGGCGGGGCCGCGCGAGAGTAGGCGGCGGGGCCGCGTAAGAGCCTGGGCGGGGCCGCGACAGAGCCGTCGGCGGGGCCGCGTGAAGGCCGGGGCGGGGCCGCGTAGGAGCCGGGGCGGGGCCGCGTGAGAGCAGGCAGCGGGGCCGCGTAAAGGCCGGGGCGGGGCCGCGACAGAGTCGGCGGCGGGGCCGCGTGAGAGCCGGCGACGGGGCCGCGTAAGGGAGGGCGGCGGGGCCGCGTCAGTGGAGGCGGCTGAGCCGCAGGGGAAAAGGCGACCCGAGGGGTCGCTAAAAAAATCGCGCCTCGGGGCGCGCTTCGGTGGGCCCAAAAAAAAACGGTCCTTAGAAGGACCCGCTCTACACCATGTGAGAATAAGCGAACAGGAATGAATGAACTAGCAGTGAAATGATTACAAGTAGGAAACCCTAGAATTGTGTACCCCCTATAGGCTAACCCACTGTAGCCTACACAAGCATAACATATATAATGTTTGACATGCGCTTCGGGCAGGAAAAATTTTCGAGTGGTGGGCCCTAGGCGAAGTTCCCACAGGGAACCTGCTCTATACCATGTGAAACTAAAGAACAGGAATGAAATGACTAAAGAAAGATTGGGTACAAATACAACCCTAGAAACCTGTACCCCATATGTGCTACCCCACTATAGCCTACAACAGCTATGTCATATGAATCTGACAGTGCGCGTAATACCATACGTGGACGATCTACTATTCCTCTGCAACTCCGAGGCGCAAGCCCGTTCGACGTGCGTCGAAGTTCTCCACGACTTGACGGCGGCAGGATTCGTGATAAATTCTAAGAAATCACACCTGCATCCCGCACACCACTTGCGCTTTTTGGGGATGGAGCTTGACACGGAACAAGGGATGTTCCTGGTCGGAAAGGATCGGCGCGAACAACTACTGCAGGAGCTCCACCTACTTATACAAAAAGGGCAATCGGGTCGTCAAGTGCCGATTCGCAAGATAGCCCGGATCATTGGATTTCTCAGCTCCATGTCGCTCGCGCTGGGCACGACGGCGCGGGCCTTCAGCCATGAGCTGCTCCACTTGATCGACTCCACATGGTCATGGAACTCAAAGGTTTTATTGTCACCAGGAGCGACCGAGGAGCTGCTGTTTTGGACAATGCACTTTGATCGTTTCAATGGCGCCCCATTCCACCAGAGTCAGCGTTTTGATGCAGTGATACACGTCAACGCGAGCGCGCACAGCTGGGGTGCCACCTTGGCCAAGTTCCCAAGTACATCATGCGAGGCAAGCGAGTGCATGCCACAAGGGCTTCTCCCCATATCTAGTACGCGGCGAGAGCTCGAGGGAGTGCTCTGGGCACTGCGGACGTTCGCAACCCAAATCGTGGGTGCTCACGTCCTCGTCCGGGTGGACAACCAGACAGTCATGTTTATCTTGCGCAAGGGGGGATCCCGTCAGGCGGATCTTACGTCGACATGCCAAGCGATCATCCAGTTCTGGCTCAGCAACACATCACGCCTCGTGATCGAATGGATTCCGAGGGAGCTCAACGCCCATGCGGATGACCTATCCAAGATGCAAGATTTTGACGACTACTCCCTACATGCACCTTGGTTTCGCCTCTTGGAACGACGCTGGGGGCCTCACACAATTGATCTCTTTGCTAACGTTCGGAACAATCACGTTCAGCGCTTCTGCTCCAAGATACCGCACCCCGACGCATTCGCCGTCGACGCATTTTCCATCTCGTGGAAAGACGAGCGATGCTTTGCCTTCCCGCCTCCACACTTAATTCCCGCTACACTCCGCCACGCGGAACTGACGCAGCCAGAATTCACGCTCGTCGTTCCCCAGTGGACCGGAGCGTCATGGTGGCCGCTTCTTCAAACGTCCACTCAATCGTGGGCTCCAGCAGTAGTCGAGCACCTTTCCCTTGCCCAAGGCAGTCAATGCCTTCGGGTAGGTTCACACACAGCTGCATTCTTTGGTCTCGGATTGCCTCATAGCCCAATCATTGCTTTGCGTGTAAACTATGCAGTCTAATAACAATTTCTCAATGTGTCATTTCAGGACTTTTGGCCAAACTAAAGCAACAATTGCTGCACGTAATTAGCCACGTTCGCGCACCATCTAGAATCGAGACGTACCAACCTTATTGGCAGAGATTTCGCACCTTCTGTACCCAAGTTAAGCTCGAGTTCCTCCCGGCAACCGACCTGATGCTAGCGCTGTATCTCATCCATGCGCTCAACAACAAAGCAACTCTCTCCGCGATCAACCTCACGTGTTCGGAAGTAGCCTTTGCCCACCGCATGACAGGCGAAACCTCCCCTACCGCCGGCCCACTCACCCTGTAGGTGCGGGAGTTCGCCGAGAGACATGGTCCCCGCCCTACAAGAACCAAAGAGCCCATATCTCTCCATCAAGTGCACGACATGGCTCGTCCCTTCCTCGAATCATCAATTCCTGCTTAATACCAGAAATGATTGATTCCTCTTCTCATGTTTTCGGCATTCTTGCGCTACTCCGACCTCGTCTCGCTCCAATGGAATGACGTACAGTTCGAGGAGAAGGCAATGTGGCTGCTCATTCCGCACTCCAAGACGGACCAGGAGGGGAGGGGAGTCTGGATCCCCGTGGCGGCAATTCCAAGCCCATACTGCCCGGTGAGGTGCACGCGCGCATTCATACACATCGCAGGCCTCACAAAGGTGCCCCATGGACCGCTGATAAGGGTTTTCCCAAACAACTCACAAGCCACACCGAACGACAAATCGCCATCCTACGTTACGATCAGAAACTGGTGCCTCGCAGTCGGCAGGCAAGCTGGACTGGATGTCGCGCACATCGGAACCCACTCATTCCGCAAAGGCGCAGCCACTGCAGCGGCGAGCCTCGGAGTTCCTGACCGGCTCTTCAAACGCATGGGCCGATGGCGCAGCGACAGCGCAAAGGAGATGTACGTTACAATCGCGCAGGATCAGCTCATCTCCCTCTCTACGCAATTGCAGGATCCTTCGACGGCTCCCTCGCCCGCTACGCATCAGCTATCCATCGAACGCCACCGGCAGCCCCGACTGCACTTGCCTCAGAAGACCCATATGAAATGATAACGCTGCCTTTGCCAGTCAGCCTAAGTACACTTTCACAATATGATAATTTTTGAAAGTGTAATGAAATGTAACACTTTCTAAAATTTTGTATTGTGAAAAGGGGTACGTGGCCAACACAGCAAAGGTAGCGCCGAAGCGCTACTCACCCTCTTTTGCCTACAAAAGAGGGACGTGGGGACATTCGTCCCCACCCACGTTTTCATTTTCAAAATTGTAGTTCTAATTTCCCACCCGCCCACCCATTTGTGTATGCTGTTATGTAGACATATATAAGATGAGAACGATGTACTACAACCCATATGAAATGATAAAGCTGCCCATATGAAATGATAACGCTGCCCATATGAAATGATAACGCTACCTTTGCCAGTCAGCATAAGTACACTTTCACAATTGGCTAAATTAGGAGATGTGGGGAGGATACTTAGTACAGTCAATGTTTGCTCAAAAGATACTGCAAGTGTTGGGAGCAGTGGCTATTTGCAAGAACTACCATTGCAGACTGTCTGCATTTGTTGGATGAATTGACAAACGATTGCAACAGGATTCAGGTGAATTGACGCCAGGAATCAAATTATCAATTACCGGATGGTTGTGTCAAGAAAAAGTCCAAGAAAGTCCATTCAAACATTGAACCAGTTGTCAGCTTAACTGCCAGACACAAAAATCACCACCATTTATCTCACTAGCACTTCCTTCCGGCATTTTCCCAAAGCTAGCAGGTCACACCTTACCTCATAGCATATGCAAAACAGACTGGGGAGGGGAGGGACCTTTCAAGTGACAGCCACTTGAGGCGCACATGAAATGGTGGGACAACTTTTCATGATATATCTGCTGGAAGTAGGCAGGCTAATGCAGAAACTGCATGCGGTGTTCTTCCCATTGCCTCAACACCAGTTGAAGCAGCCACCGTCGTAGCCAGACAACAATGTCATGGCCACACAACAGGAGGTTAGAACAATAGCAATTTTGAGAAATTGGGGGCATGTGTACCCTAATGTGCTACTCGATTTCGCTCACAAGCACTCAACCTCTTGTGCGTTCCTTTTCCTTTGGCAATAGCAAGTAAGCAGGTTTGAAGGACAGGGAAGCACAGACCTGGGGAATGGAGAGCAGGGAGGGGGGGTGCAGTGCAGTGCTGTGGAGAGCAGAGAGCAGAGACGAGACGAGTGCAGTGCAGTCACGAGCAGGGAGCCGTGACGAGCAGAAAGCAGTCACGTGCAGTCACGAGCAGTGACAGCGGCAAGCAGTGGCGAGCAGAATGGGTGGCGAGCAGTGACGAGCAGAAAGAAGAGACGAGCAGAACGGCAGAGACAGCGCAGAGCAGGACGCAGATAGCAGATAGCAGGCCACCAAGCAGCCGAAAATGAGAAGGCCGAATCCATTGCTTATAACGCAGTCCACAAGACGAAGCAGATAGAAGAAGCCGATAGAAGAAGCAGCTAGCAGAGAAGATAACGAAGCAGAAGAGCAGGCAGCCATGGCTCTTCCCCTAAAGGAACTCCAGAGCCTTCTGAAATCTATGTTAGAAAGCAGCTCCCGAAGCAGCTGCAGAAGCAGCAATCAGCCGTGTGACCATGTCATCCTTCAGACCCGCGCACAAGATTCCATTACGGAAGCACGTCCACTGGTGCTCCGAATGCCTAACTGCGGCTGCGGCTCCGGCGGCGGCGAGGAGAGGGGCTCCGCCTGAGGGACACGCAGAGGGACGTCATCACTTGGCGTCAGGCGAGCTAAGAGAGAGAAACAAATCAGATCCAGGTGGCAGGTACATATGGAGAGCACGAGGGGGAGTGGGAGGGTGAGGGAAGAGAGGTTTGCGCAGGAGGGTTGACAGCGAGAAACAGGAAGGATTTGGGGAAAGGGAGAATAGGGAAGAGAAAAGAGAGGAAGACAGGAGGGAAGGCGGCAAAAGGAGAACGGGGGGGGCGTAATGGTGGCCGCAATAGAGGGTAAAACGGGGCGGATGAAGCACGCGAGCACTCACTCGTCACGACGCGGGGACCCGGGAGCCGGGCTGCGGACGCGCGGGGGAGATCGGCTTCCGCGGCGCCTGTCCGGGGAAGGGCTCCGGCGGCGGGGGGGGGAGGGGCTCCGGCGACGACCGGGGGACGGGCTCCGGCGGCGGGGAGAGGGGCTCCTGCGCCGAGGGGAATCATCCCTGATGAGGGGAGGCGGAAAATGAAACATAATCAATTGACATTGAAATGAGAACGGATCGCGAAAGAAAAGAAGATGGCTGGAAAGAAAGCGGGTGGCCAGGATGGTCCAGGGAGCACGCCTTAATTGTTTATTAAGAAATTCGGACCGGATAAACGGGACGAGAAGCAGGAAACGGGAAAAAAAAAACAAAAAATCTGTAACACAAATCAAGCGTGAATCAAAGAGTCAACAAAAAATGCTAGACTGAATTGTTGAACTCACCTCTCGCGACCGTAATCCGGGCTTCGGCGATAGCGCGGAGGGCTGCGACCGCGCGCTCCACCTCCGCCTCCGCCTCCTCCGAGACGCATGCGACACTCGCGGGCGAAATGACCGGGTTCGCCGCACTCGTAGCAGCGCATGTCGTCACCTCCCCTTCGCACAGGAACTGGACCACCTCCTCCTCCGCCAGAGGCACGTGAAAGCTCAACACGCCAGCCTTGCTTGCCTGATGTCACACAAACATAAGAATAAAACTGATTTAAAAAAATATAACTATAACTGCTTGAATTTGCTTGCCCGATGTCACACAAACATGTAATACAAATAACTATGAAGTCTAACACTATGAAATAGGAAAACACGGTGTAAATAAACCGTTAACAGGCTCTTTCTTACCGTTGAGAGCTCGAATAGCATCTTGAGCATCCCTGTGGTCGTCGAACTCAATAAACGCGAAGCCAGGTGGCTTTCTAGCGACCCACACACTGCACGGCAACGGCTTCACTGTCAGAAAGTGGTGAATGATTTCTCAAGAGATTAAGCGGTGAATTAACGGCAACAAATCGACGCGGTGAAACTTTGATTCAGTACCTTCTTAGAACGCCATAGCTTCGGAACTCGTCTTCAAGCTCTCGTTCCGTTGCACGGGGATCCAAATTACCAACGTACACCCGCGCCATGATTCCCGATCACACAAACACCACCTGCTGAAAACAACATCACTCCATCATTAGGCATCTTGTAAGCTAAATACTAGCGAACGGTGACAAAAAAGCATGCTATATAAGTTAATAGAACTTACCAGACTTATTTGGCGACGATGGTTGTCCAGGTTCAAGATCAGGAATAGATTAATCAATCAGGACTAAACCTCCAATACTACCTCCTAGAAAAGCCGAACAGGAGAGGGAGTCCTGAAAATGAGCCAACAAACCCACGCCTGCCGGACTTTGAGCTGAGTTTCGCGTTATTGTCGCGCTCCGCTTTCATTTCACAAAGAGCGCAGCGAGATATTAACCTAAGGAAAAAGTTCAGCTGTACAATATGCAAAAAGGGCACTCAATGCAAAAGCTAGGAATGGATGGATACTTGTGAGGTGCTGGTTATTAAATTCGCTAACCAAGGTACAGGCCAAAAAAACATGTATTAGTGGATAATACATTTCAAGTTGAACCAGACAACCCTATGTACTTGGCCACTTATATATAGCATAGCCTTACGGCTGCACACGGGAAAACATGCACCTGAGCGGAAAAAAAAAACTTGTCTGTTCAGCTAAGCGCCTTTCCTACCGTATTCTTCAGAATCACAAACCATTTGCCGCTTGAGCGACGAAAAAACTTGTGATTCTTTATTCCACATCTAGCCCATCCATATCCTCATCTTCCCCCACAACCCTCTTCTCGACATAGGCACACTCTGGGGCCCCTGAATTTGGTCTGCACTCCACAAGCTGCCCTTTATTGTCACGCGCAGGGACGCTGTAGCAGGGGTGGGTGCACTGGCATTGGTAACCGAGCGGAGAAGGCACGAAGGGGATGCACACTGCGTGCTTCGGGCAGGGCGAGATGGATGGGCAGCGCTTGCGAAGCAACTGGGGACCTGAGAGGAGGATGAGGGGAGGCAGGTTTGGGGTCCGCAAAAAAATGGGCGAGAGAAGAGGGTTGGTCTAAGCACCAGCAAAACAATGGGATTGAAGGAAACGTGCTGTATGCTGCATGCTGGCAGCTGAATGCGGTGAGCAAATGGATGTGGATGGGATGGGTGACAGCAAACCAGGTAGATGGCCATCGTTGAGAAAGAAGAGTCCGGGAAGACAAAAAAAAAAAGGGTGAGGGGGGGACGGGGGGGGGGGGGGTTGGGGGGGGGGGGGATCATCTAGCTGATAGCAACCGTAGACTCACAGCATCGACCCACTTCCCCGTCGTGGCATGCACACATCCACGGCAGCACATCGCCATACTTGAATGCCGGACTGAGGATCATTGGGCGGCACACTCCCTTCCCCTCACAATACTCCCCTTCGCTTATTCCCCCACACAGCGCCTCCCCGCACTGCTGCTCCGGCCGCTGCTGCTCCACAAGAGACGCCAGGTCCAGCACAGCGGAGCCTAAGCGAGGCCCGGCCGAGCCTGGCTGGCTGGTTCGGGAGACGAAGCAGGAATAAAGGTCTTGTTTGGAGAAGCAGTTGAGGGAGAAGGAGGCGGGGGAGCAGAGGAGGGAGGTGCGGGGGAGGGAGCCCGAGAGGTAGTTGGAGGAGAGGGAGAGGGTGGAGAGGAGAGGCGGGAGGCGTGATGGAACTCGGCCCGTGAGGCGGTTGCTTGATAGCAGTCTGAGAGGGAATCACAGGAGAAAGGGACGGGCAAGCGGAGGAAGGATCGGGGAAAAGGAGAATGGATGGGGAAGCGGATTGAGAAAGGTGTCTTTCTGAGAAAGCACAGGAGGCACTTGAGAGGCGAGCCGGTGTGAGAATACTCAATGCATATTCCAGACAAAAATACTCAATGCATATTCCAGACAAAAATACTCAATGCATATTCCAGACAAAAATACTCAATGCATATTCCAGACAAAAATACTCAATGCATATTCCAGACAAAAATACTCAATGCATATTCCAGACAAAAATACTCAATGCATATTCCAGACAAAAATACTCAATGCATATTCCAGACAAAAATACTCAATGCATATTCCAGACAAAAATACTCAATGCATATTCCAGACAAAACTACTCAATGCATATTCCAGACAGAAATACTCAATGCATATTCCAGACAAAAATACTCAATGCATATTCCAGACAAAAATACTCAATGCATATTCCAGACAAAAATACTCAATGCATATTCCAGACAAAAATACTCAATGCACATTCCAGACAAAAATACTCAATGCACATTCCAGACAAAAATACTCAATGCACATTCCAGACAAAAATACTCAATGCACATTCCAGACAAAAATACTCAATGCACATTCCAGACAAAAATACTCAATGCATATTCCTGACAAAACTACTCACAGTGCTGTGAGGCGTGGAAAGGCGGCGGTGATGGACGGCTGGATGCTGCCGAAGAGGAAATTGGACGAGAGGTCCCTGTAGAGATGAGATGACACAGGGGGGATGCAGTCGGAACAGGGAGATGCTTCTTGGAAGGTCGAGAAGAGGAGAGGAAAGTGAGGAGGAAGAGAAAATTGGAAGAGAGGTCCCTGCAGAGGAGAGACACGGTGGATGCAGGTGCAGGTGGAGCAGGGAGATGCTTCTTGAAACAGTGAGAAAGAGAATACTCAAAGACAGGTGTATGCCGACTCTGAAAAAGAGTGGGAGGCAGGTGAGGAAGGGAGCTTGAGAAGCACGGAGGGCGGTGAGAGGAGTGGCTTGAGGATGGAAGAAGAGGGTGACGAGAGTCAAGTTGGAATAACCAAGGGCGGAAGCAAGACGTACAAGTGCTGTAAGTTGGTTAGTCCTTCGAGAGGCTTGATGAAGACGTCGAGTCGCTCTATAATGAGGTTTCGCTGCAGGTCACTGCAGGGAGGAATCAATGCAAGGCGCAAAGGGGAAGCATGAGAGAGCAGGCGAGACGACTTTCGAGCTCCACAGAGAAACATGCAGGAGCAAGCAACCGTTACAAACCGGCAAGATAACCGAGACAACCAAGGAAATCAAGAAACCCAAGAAAATCAAGAAGACGCTCAGTTCCGGGTATGAGCTCGAATGCTCCAACCATGAAATTGAAAAACAGAAAAGCACGAGAGGTGGAAAATTCAAAAGCCAATCACCGACCGCCACGTCGGATGTGCACTTGCTTTAGGCATCTCCCGAGTGACATCAGCACAGCATGCTCCAAGTCTTACATGTTGGTGAGCGAGGTGAGCCTGGAGACGTCCAGAGGCAGATGCCCCGTGAGGCCCTGCTGGGGGAACTCCATGCGGACGGGGTTCCCCCGCGCGCGCCTTGTGAGGCGCCTCAAGAGCTTACATCTTGGTGAGCGAGGTTAGCCTGGAGACGTCAAGAGGCAGATGGCCCGTGAGGCCCTGTCGGGGGAACTCCATGCGGACGGGGTTCCCCTGAGAGTCACATGCCACCCCCGCCCACCCCGCGCGCCCCACTCCCCCCGCAGCCTTCCCCCGCAGGGGGAACAACAGCTCCGCCGCCCCACCCACCGCCGCTGCTGCTGCCGCGGCCTCTACCCCCGGTTCTCCCCGCGCTTCTCCCCTGGTTTCCGCCTCCCCGACTTCCGCGGCGAGCGCGCAGTCCCCCGCGCCCGCCCAGTTGTATTGCACGAGCTCGAGCGTGTTCTGCAGCTGCAACAGCACGGGCACTGGGGGAAGTGGGAGGAAGGGGGAGAAGAGGAACGGGGGAGAAGAGGAACGGGGGAGAAGAGGAACGGGGGAGAAGAGGAACGGGGGAGAAGAGGAACGGGGGAGAAGAGGAACGGGGGAGAAGAGGAACGGGGGAGAAGAGGGGAAGACGGGGAAGACGAAGGAGGGCAGGGAAGAGGAGGGGAGGGAAGGTGAGGGAGGGGAAGGGGAGGGGAGGGGAGGAGGGTCGCACAGGCATGAGCGTATGGCCCGAGAAGGGTAGCAGAGGAAGGGCGAGAACCAGAGAGCGGCGTAGGACCGCATCCCAAGATGCAGCAGAGCAGAGACTCGGAATGCAGCAATCCCTCACCGGCGGACACGTTCATCGGGACTGTAAGCACCGGGACCGCCGCCGCCGCCGCCGTCGCCGCTGGCGCTGCAGCCGCAGATGTGGGGAAGCGAGAGGCCGATGACAGTACGAGGAGGAGGAGCGCGAGACGGAGGGCGAAAAGAGCGGCTTCGGGCGGCGCGGCGGTACAAGTGGCGCGGCGAGCCTTTCCGAAAGGGGTTTTTTTTTAGCAAACGAGCGTTTTCGCCGGCAGCGGCGGCGTGACGAACCGCGAATACCGCCATGGCGCGACCGTGAATCTTAAGGAGGGCAGAACGATGGTGCTGCTGCTGCTGCTGTCAGTATGGCTCCTACGCGGCTGCTGTAGTAGCAGCGGCGGCAAAAGTGTGACGAGGGTAGACCGAGCTGTTTCTTGGAACGAGCACACGAGTCACGCGTCGGGCTTTCCTGAGTCGCGCCAGGGTCGAAAATACTAACTCCACCGTGACAGGCTGTGTGACGAAAAAATGGATAGCGAGGGCCGGTTGAGATGGGTCAAAAGAAGAGTATGGGAAGCCACCGGAGCGCGTGGAAAGAAGCGAAGCGTGGCACTGGAACTATGGACAGGGGTCTTGCTGATTGGGGGAAATACACGGGCACTACTAGTCTCCAACTTTGGTAGTACGTCTCGACTCTCGATCCAAGACTTTCAGGAACGAGGAAAAGCTGAGGGTTCCGACCGAATGAGCGCCAGGCCCTGAGTTTATTAGTACTAGTGGTAATGTACGTTCCCGGTGCGGACCTGGCGCGGCGTCAACACTTTCCGTTGACCAGAGAAGCGATTCGGGTGGTCGTTCTTTAGGCAAGGTGTGCTTACGCGGCGCGGGACCGATGATAGCTAACGATAACGACGATACGTCTCACAAAAACGGACAAACGCGCAACTGGCGCCGGGGTAGCGCCGCGATGAGGCAAATCTCGGCCCGAAGCGCTAGTCGCAGGAGCGGGTTGCTCGCTTGACGAGCACAGTGCCGCGACGAGATGGCTACTGTACAACCACCACTACTCGTTGCGCTGCGATGGCGTAGTGACGTCGTCCTCGTCAATCGCTTTTCAGCAACAACGTGTCGTCCCCTTCAAGAGCTTGACAAGAGAAGTTAGAGCCGAACAAATGGTCATGGGTCTGCTCTCCTATCACGCCTTAGGCGCCTCAGAGTTAGCAGGCTGCTCAGGAGACTGCTTGTGCTTCTGTTGGCAAGCAGACTGCCTGTCCTGCTGCTCCGCAAGTCAGCGTTGAGCAAATGAGCATTGAGAACCGCTCCGCTCCGCCTGCGTGCACTGGTTGCGGCACTCGACGCAAGTGGAGAAGCCGTCCGCTCGAATCGCTTCCCATCGCAGATAAGTCGTCAGTGAAGTTGGTTGTTTTTGTGCGGGGTGTATAAAGAAACCGTCTGTGTACAGTAGTGTCGAGTCGATACGGCAAGAAGAGGGTTAATGATAATGGGGCATGCGAAATGATATTTGTCGTGGGCGTCGAAACTTCTTATCTCGTTTTGGGAAGATTAACCCGAAGTGGTTACAGTTCGGACAGTTGGAGTGCAAACGCCCACAGGCAGAATGTCAATGCTGTTAGCTCACACGGGAGAAAGAAGAAGGAACCAGAAGAGGTCAAAGCAGCTCGTTTGCTCGCACGGGCGAGCAGCAGATTCGCGAGATATTCGCCGCCGCAGCAGATTGAGCAAGTCTGAAGCGTGTGGATAGGAAGAATCGCGAATAGGGGCACGCACTTCCTTTCGTGTCGTAAGGGGAAGACCGAAACAGACCAAGAGTGTGAGAGGTGGCGGTGGACAGGCAGCGACAGGGGAGAGGAAGTAAAGAATGGGAGATAAGCGGGGCGAGGAGGGGAGAAAGGTGGGGGAAAATAGGGGGGAAAGGGGGAATTGGAGGGGAGACAGACGGATGGAAGAGTTTAGGAAGGGGTGGGGAGAATGGGGAGGGAAGGGGGAAATTTGAAACTACAGTCGATGCTCAGTCTATCACACAAAATTTGGTCATCACAGTGAGAAATTTAATCACAATTGTGTGGTTTACCGGGTGATATCACAAGGGGTACAGTCACTCGAAAGTTTGTGTTGTTGTGCCTGTTGATATGCAAATTTACAGGGCGCTTCGAGGCTTGCGGAACGGACAAGCACTACAGCAATCTCTGCGAGTGCTAGAACGAATTGCAGCGAAGCCTTCACCAGCTTCGCGATGCGAGTGAACGCCACGTCGGCGGCGACATGACACTTGCGCCGCCGACGTGGATGCGCGCCGCCACCTCACTCAGATTCCCAAGGAAGCATCGAGACGTTTTTGATTTCCTCGCGCTGCCTATCACCGCTTCATTGGAATTGACAATGAAGCGTCAACTCGCGGTCCGAACCACCCCATTCCCCCGAACAGAAACGCTAACCCCCCCCAAATTAAGTAAAACACAAGAAAAAACCTCATGGGACCTCGCGTATGCCTTAAGCGTACCTATCCGGTTCACACCAAATGTCACATTTCTGCTAAATATCATCTGCATAGCACTGCGCCCACCGCAACTGATCACGCCCTTCGACAAGCTCAAACTCTCTGCTGAATGAATGGTCGCGCAAGTCGTAAAGCCCATAAATTTACTCGACATTCACGATTAACTAGCAATAGCCTGTGTTCTTCTACTTGTAGCTGCCATGGCTCGCCAGCGACGCCACCGCTCTCAGATTACTCTCAGCATCAAGCGCGCCATCTGTGCCAAGCAAGAGGCACATCCGCATTTGCGTCACGAGGACATTGCACGCTGGTGCTTCACTCGTTATGGCATTCGGCCTCACCGTACCACGGTGACCAAGATACTCAGCGAGGATTCTCGTTGGAGCTCGTCCAACAGCGAAGATGCTGACAGCATGCGGGTTCGTGGTGGCGCTCACCCAGACTTGGAGCTTGAGCTGAAGAAATTTGTCGACTAGGCCAATAAGGCAGGTGTGCCGCTCATGCTTGAGACTATCCGTGACCACGCCAAGCTTGTTGCCCGCGAGCTGGGGAAGCCGCCAAGCTTTCGGTGTTCGACCGGATGGGTACGGCGAGCCATGAAGCGTCTGGGCATCCGGTGCTTCGCTCTTTCTGGTGAGGCAGCAGAGGCAGACATGCATGCCGTGAGAACGTGCCGGGAGCAAATGCCAAAGCTGTTGCTCCATCTGGCGGTCCCTCCGCGCAACGTGCTCAACTTCGACGAGACGGGAGTCTACGTCTCTGCCCTGCCGAGGAGGACATATGGCCGTGCTCGCGTCGCCGGTCGTAAAATCGCGAAGGATCGGCTCACTGTCGGATTTCTCTGCAACGCTGACGGCAGCACATTCTGGCGTCCCCTGATCATTTCCAAATCGAAGCGCCCCGTCGATTTTCGCCCCGATTACGACCCTGAGCCGTATTGCTACTGGCGCTCCAACAGGAAAGGTTGGATGACCAAGGAGGTACGAAGAAACACTGTAATTGAATACTTGGTTGTTGCGTTTCTTGCTTCTTCATTCTCCCGGTCACAACTCCCTGTGAGAAACTGTAACTTGGCTGTTACCCCGCCCCCTTCGCGATGCAGTTGTTCACGCACTTCATTGAGAAACTGAACGCGGCTATGTATGCTGAGGGTCGCGACGTGGTCATCTTGCTTGATAACGCCAGCAGCCACACGTTGCTCACCGAGACGTCCGGGACGGAGGACCTTTTTGGCTTCCGCACACGCACGTTGAGCAACGTGCGTTTGGTGTACCTTCCACCGAACACCACGTGCTTCACGCAGCCCCTTGATCAGGGGATCATCAAGAAGGCGAAGACCACGTACAAGAAGCTGTGGCTCATGGACCTTACAAGGCAGTGGGAGGAGGACCGTCGCCGGGCGTCACTTGCGCGTTACAAGCCGAACATGCGTGACGTCGTGGAGTGGATATACGACTCATGGATGAACGTCGGAGCCAGGACGGTGCAGCTCTGCTGGTGGAACACGGGCTGCCTCCCAAATGCGTGGGAGATGCAGCTGGAATACGTCTATGCACGGCATAACGAGGCTCCTGAAGAAGCGGATGAATCGCGCGAGGATGAGCTGCAGGGTGTCGGGCGTCTCATCACTGGCCTTTCTCTGGGGTGCGCCGCCATCGCCGCTGAGGAGTATGTCGCAGCGGACGACAGCCTGCCTACGTGCGACATGGGCGGGCCCGATCCCCTCTCGTCGGAGCCTGCAGAACATCGAACCAGGGAGGAGTGGGAGTTCCCACTGCCAGCGGCGGCCGCCTTTGATGGTGACATGAACAGCCGCGATTCACGCAGTACAGCTCGTGCGGCGTGCGAAATGCTCATCGGCTACGCGCGGTCCATCAATGTCGCCCCGCGTGATCTCACGGTCCTCTTTGACATCCGCAACCCGGCTGTCCGCGAGCGGCTCGAGCGGGCCAGCCCGGTGTTGAACCTCAACGAGCAGCCCTTCACCGCGTCCTCTACCCCTGGTCGAGGCCGGGTGCTCCCGCCGTCGATCACGGGCACGAGCCGTCTCAGCGAGCTCGTTGCCGGCGGTGTCTACGCCGTCATGGGGACGTACGACGCATCGCCGAGTGGATGAACCGCCTGTGAAGATGTCCTGCAAGCCATGCTAAGTGATGAACCTGGGGGAGGAGATTATGTGTTGTGGAAATAATGTTGGGTGAGGTTCCAAGGTGGAGTTACGAGTTGGTTTTTTGTTGGAGTGGGGCTGGGGAGGGATTTGTTGTGTGTGGTTGGGTTACAGTACACTACGTGGCAAAATTGCAGTTGCTCAAATGAGCGGTTGGGGTGTTTGTGTCTGATTGTGTGAATTGTTGTTTCTTGGTGGCACAGTAGTTGATCTTCAAAGTGGTAACTACGAACATGCAAACAGAACAAACTACACTGGTCAACAGTACCAGGGAAACGCCAAGCATGTTACATCTGTGCAAACATACAATCA